CAACAAACAACTAAATCCAAGATGCAATCCCAAGTGGAGGCCATAAAAAATGAGGATGGATGAAGGAGAGGAGCAAATCCGTGGTATACAAGATAAGATTAAAGAAAATGAGTGAAAAGAAGAGGGAAACCAAGGTAATGGGCCATGAAGGTAGATTAGGGAACTCAGGGACTTATTAAAACATTATAACATTTGTATCATAAGAGTCACAGAAGATGAAGAGAAATAAAAAGGGGGATTAGTTTTATTCCATGAAGTAATAGCCAAAAAGTTCTCTAATATGCAAAGGACACAGATATCAAAATCCAAGTAGTACAGAGAACTCCTATTAAATTCAACAAACGCTATCTCTAAGTCATTTTGTAGTCAAACTCACAAAATACAACACAAACAAGGAAAGATTCTGGAAGGAACAATGGAATAAAGGGGGTTAACCTAGGGGTTTCAGTAAGACACAACTCTGTAAATTGATGATCAGACTCAGATCTCACAGTCATCACATCCACATCTTCTGGAAGATTGAAAAAACATCATCCTTAAATTAAAGTTCCACATCCTCTAGGAAACCCTGACTCCCTTGTACCACGTTTCTCCCTCTGTGTGTCCACTGTGTCCTTTCACAGAGTCCTAGGAGAGTCCTGGTTAGTCCTATCTGCAGGAGGGAACATTGAGAAATCCACCCTGGGACCTCACTGAAGGAACTTACCAGCTACTTTCCCCAACAAATGCAGCAGGGAAATGTCAGAGCATCAGTGCTTGGGTTCATTGTCACTAATGTCTCAGTCTGTTCAGCTGTTGTAAGAATGTACATGGACCGGGTGGTTTTAAACAAAAGACAGCCATTCCTCACAGTTCTGGATTCTGAGAAGTCAGGTCATGGTGCAGACATTTGGTGTCTGGAGGGTTCCCACCTCCTAGTGCGTTCTTTCCCTGTCACCTCACATGGGATCAGGGGGCAGGGAGCTTTCCCAGTCCTGTGGTATAAGGGCAGTAATCCTGTCATGAGAGTGCACCCTCTGTCCTAAATGATTCCCTAAGGCTGGTCCTCCTCGATCCATCAGAATGTCCTTAGGATTCAACCTGTGATGGTGGAGGTCATACACACTGAGCTGATACCAGCAACTGAAAGGTAATTAGTTATTCCCCACAGGTGGAAGGCTCCTCCCATCCAGCACCTCAGCCTGAGGATTCTCATGGATCCAGTAGAACCTTCTGGTCTCTGTGTGCACACAGCGAACACAGGGATGTCAGAACCAGTTTCTGACCTTGGGGAGAGGACAGCTTCCACTGCAGACACTGGGTAGAACTCAGTCCACTTCCATCATTATATCTTTAATTGTGATGTTTCCATGGATTATTCTTCTAAATTTCCAAGGATTCGAATCATTTTCTACTTAGAATGGCCATTTCTCTTTTGTTCTTGCCATTTTTACAGGTGTTTAGTTGAATTAGTCATCACTTGGTATCTTTTGTTAGCTCCTTGACCTTCATTCCTCACTCTTCTCTTCCTGCCTCAGATGGAAACTCTAACAAGAACACACCAGTTCTCCCTCCTTTGATGCAGGTGGGAGACTGACTCCACGTAAAGCCCTCCCATGAACAGAACCCCATCCCCACCAATGACCCACAGCACACCCCCTGAGCCAGTGTCCTTCCTTGGCTCCATCCAAGCAGTTATGACTTGAGGAGAGGCCTGCCCTGCTCTCAACAGACAAGATGGTAAAGGGGATGAAAG